CACAAAATGTAAACTTACAAAAGTCGAAGTCATGCCAGCACAAGCACCTGCTGCTAGTCTTCCAATGACAGAAAGCTCCCCATCCTTTCCTTGAAATAGTTTCTGGAAATAGAAAGTGCGAAATAACCTTAATTGCGGTGATACAACAAACTAGTCTTATGTCTTCTCTAAAGATGATTCAATACCTTGTAATTTTCATAAGCAAACAACTGCACTGCACTATAAGGTATGATCCGTATCACCTAAAACATAAACAGAAAATATCAACTTGAAGTTTTATTAAAAAAAAAAAAATCAGAGCCCTAATAGAGCAATCACCAAGAATCTATGATTGACTATAAATGGTAGCTCAACAGGCAAATGGAGCAAAAACCTGTGGAAGGTTGCCTTTCCAGTATCCTTTGATCCCTTCCTCCTTCCCAATCAATGCAAATGCCTGCAATCGAATTTTACGCATATATCAAAAATTTGAGAATCAAAAGACTCAATGATGGCGCCTATGAGTGGTAATTATTGCCCTATGGGAGGTTTGCAGAAAAGAGAAGCATAAGAAGAATTTACTTCTGCAATGTACCGATCAAAATAGAAAAAAGGAAAATAACCATTATACTGTTATAGACTAAACAGGAGAGCCCAACCCAAAAGACTAGCCTATTAGGTGGGAGAACCCATTTACCCTATGAAATACTGGTACTCTTTTTACTCAATGAAGGAGTCAATTGGTCCACAACAATTGCCCCTGCTTGACGACCAACGACCTTGTTGATCGCGGCTAGCACCACTTTTTTAGATCCAGACCACCACTTGTGGCACCCCTCTAGCCCAGGTGGTCATGGCTGGCATCTCTCTTTTTTTTTTCTTTTTTTTTGGGGGTGGTGGTGGGGGGGTGTCCAAGTCACCACTCTTGGTGCCCTACCAGTTGCTCATAGCTGGCAACCCCCACACACCACGAGTCCAGGCCACCACTCCAAGTTGCGGTCTTAAGCGTTCATCAATGATGAACTGCCCTGATACCAATTGTTATAGACTAACATAAGAGTCCAACCCAAAAGACTAGTCTATTAGGTGAGAGAGCCCATTTAGCCTATAAACCCATTATTAGTACTCTTTTTAATCAATGATGGACTCAATTGGTTCACAAAATATTATAGAGAGCATCAGTTGTTTATAACTAATTAAAGAGAAGTAATCAACCAAATGGCAGAAAATTGTACGCGTACGAGGAAAATTTATCTATTCATCATAATAGCTATAAAAAAATTATTTCTAAAGACAGAACTTCCCAAACTGAGTCCCGCACCAAATTCTACAAATTTTACTAGGCGGTAGAATCGGTCACCAACGCTGGCTGATAAGTAACAAGTTGACTATTTTTCCACCCTCAAATCTAGAGTGAAAGGGACAGCCTTCGTCTTTTGTAGTAAATGGGTTTTAACTATGATACTGCAAATTACTCGCTTACTTGTTTGGATCAATCATCACAACACTAAAACTCTGCACAATATAAAAGAACAGCAAACAGGAAACACCAGACTACAGGAAACTCAATAAATTAAGAAGTAGATGCCGAGATGTGGGTAATTCTGAATTATTAACTAGGACATAGCTTGTCTTTGTCGCATATCTCAAAAAGCAACAACAGACAAGAAAACAATACAATACCTCAATGAATCCAATTCCCTTCTTTGCAGCTTCTTGTCCAGCTCTTAGTCCATGTGTCTAGCAACCAACGCAAATAACAGGAAGATATAAGTGCAAGGAAGAAAACGTAAAAGTGGTCGCTGTTAACTACAATATGCATATCAAACTCATAATAGCAGGGAGTCACCTTACCAGTAACAATATGAAGGATTGGGGCAATATGTAGATGGATACAAGTATGAGCTGGGGATTTCACTGTCAGCTATACAAATACATAGTGAGAAAGGATGCTCGCGATGTCAAGGTACAACACAGAATTTTTTTTATTTTCACAAATGGAGTTTCACAAGACCAGAAGAGTGGTGAGGCAAGGAGAATAACCCCCAAAAGTCATTCTTGCACCGATATATATCAGGCAAGTCATTCTTTCCTCTTTCTTCTCATAGAATAACAAAATAGCAGTAACGTTCATAGTTCCTTTAACTTGTTAACAGGTCAATAGCATAAACACATTGCAGTTGCACCTACACTCTTTGTCTACTTCTCTGCCACCGACATTAAAGACTGGGCAATAAAGCCAATTTGGGCTTTTAAGATTCACATTCAGGAATATAGCATAAGATGGCTAGAGTAGAAGCTGATAACAAGTACTCCTACAAAGGATGTGGCATTTTCTGGCTACCATTTAAGAAATCATATAAGTTTAAAGGTTATAAACCTTTCAAAAGAATATATTAGCAGACTAACAATCCTTCAAAACTATGAAAAAGATATACAAATACTTGAAGAAGTCAGTAATACCAAACAGAATTCATGCGAATAAACGTACCAGCCTACTTAGCCAAAACTAAATCACCATCCTGATCGGAGGATGACTTATCTGGCTATATCTCATGTTATTTTTGTCCAGCCCACTAACCAAATATGCTGTAAAGTCATTTTTCACTCTACTCTTAGTTACTGTCATTTGCTTTAAACATTTAGTTACCGTCTGCTACTATAAGTATCAGCAAATCTTGACCTCCTGCCCCATTCTCTCTATCTCCCACTATCACATTTCAATTCAACCAAAAATCAATCAATCAAGTAATCAACTATACCTCAATCCTAAACTAGTCGTGGTCTGCTACATGAATCCTCTATATTCACTCCACTCTTTTCTTTTCTTTTTTCTTTTTCCTTTTTTCTAGATAACTGAGAAATTTGTTGTATCCAACTTCAAACTTTGTGAAAAGCGGACCCGCCTCCCTATCCTTCTCCATTTAAATATTACAACTAGACTCAGGGGCGGATCTACGTTGTAAGTTAGGGGTACCACGGCACCCGCTCGCTTCGCTAAAATTTCTATCGTGTACATAATATTTCTGTGAAAAAACGTATAAATGGATAGAATGGCACCCAAAAGTCACAAAGTGGAAGTGGGTGCCATTGGTTTAGCCTTCCCTTTGAAGGCTTTTCTTGGCCTCAAGAATGCAAGTTCGATTCCCTGTTGGAGCAGCTCTTTTGATTTTTTCTTTTTTTTACTTATTAAGATTTCTTTTATTTTTAGTTGAACCCTAGAGCCTCATATCTTTTCCTTCTTTTTCGGTTCTTTCCCTCCTTTTATTACTTGTTAAGTCTCTTTTCTTCATTTTTTTAACTTTCAGTCCTCATTTTGTTTCTATCATTATACCTTACTTTATAAACAATTATTTTCTATAGTAATTTTAATTGATTTTAATTAGAATATAATTTCTTTATTTTTAATGAAACGATATTAATTTATATATTGGAATATAATTTGAGCAATATCTTCTATTTGGTTTTGAAAAAAAATTAAATGGTTTGATTGATAGTCGTTTTGAGTTGAATATCATAGGTTGAATGTTGAATGTTGAAGGTTTTTCTTTGAAAATAATTGTCATATAACTCAACAATTAAGATGAAAAAATAAACAAAAACCAATACAAGTAAATTAATCTAGTCAAACAAAGAATATAGTGTAGTTAAGGTACCCTTTAAGCAAATATTTATATTGGAGGCGCTCTTTCATGAAATGTTATTTTTCTTTTGTATTTTTATTTAGAATGTGTTTAAATTAAGCGTTAAAAATTTGAACTAAAATCGAATTTATTTGCTTTGTGAATGAAAGGCCTATTCAAATTAACCAAAAACTAACCGAACCGATCCATTATTACTAATCTGTCTTTGTAGCTACTGACATGTATACTGTATGCATAATATGGTGGCACCCGCAACGTTCGAATACTGGATCCGCCTCTAACTAGACTTGGTTACTATCTTTATTTTTGAGTCAACGCGTATGCATAATATGGTGGCACCCGCAACCTTCGAATACTGGATCCGCCTCTAACTAGACTTGGTTACTATCTTTATTTTTGAGTCAACGCCCTGAGGGGCATATTCACTCCACTTTATTGGGACCCACATTATTTTATTTGTTCAAAGTGTAGGAAATGAAACAAACAATTTTGTCAAGAAATTAAGGCTAAAGTTCAACAAAAAATTCAATTATCCAAGAAAACAGCAGCAATATGGTAGTAAAAAAAACCCGAAAACGAAAAATTAAAAAAGAGAGAGACCTGCATGAGGAGCTTGATACGGTCAAGGGGAGCAGTAACAGTCTTAGCAGCAGCACCAGCAATAGCACCAGCAGCAAATAAAGCAGCATCTCTTGGAACCAAAGCTACCATAGCTAAAGGGTGCTTTATAAGCTGAGCTGTTGTAGGATTATTGAACCCTTTATTGTCAAGATTCTCAGATAGCGAGATGCATCCAAAATTGGACCCAATTGAACCGACCCATTTGTTCTGCCATTGTTGTGGTGGGTGAGTGTTGGATAATTCGAGACCGGGAACGTTCATGGACACTAAAACGGGTCGGTTCTTTCTCATGGTGGATACTGGGTACAGAGGAATGAAGTTTTTTTTCCTCTGCTGTGGAGAAGAAGATAAGAGAGGGGTTTTAGAGGGAGACTTTGGCACTTTGCAGCTTATACTCTATGTAAAACGAAACCAGACTTGGGGGTTTATTCTGTTTCTATATTTCATTTCTTTTTTTAAAGAGGACATATTCTATACTCCAGATCCAATGGGTTTTTCTCTTTTTTTTATTTTATCTTCCCATCGAGTTAATCTTTTGGTTGGTATATTTTTAGAAGAGTTAATCTCGGTATAAAATTCCGCTAAACATATGGAGGCGGAAGCAGAAGTGAGAGGGGGTTCAATTTTGACTAAAAATATACTCTCACTGATGATTATTTAGCTTTTTCTTTTTCTTCATACGTAATACTCACACAAGTTAATGAGGAAATTAATATATTATTTTAACATAGAATAAGAATACATATATTAAATTATACTACCTTGATTAGAGTATTAAAATGATAAAATAACCCTTACAATGTGAAATGTAACTTTTATTTTGCTAAAAATAAAATAAACATATTCCATTATGCAATATATGTGTTACTTTATAATATATCGAACTAAATATATAACAAGAAATAATCCATGTATTATGATTTATGCATAACTAATTTTGCATTACTAATACCCCTTATTTATTTGAGAAAAAATTAAACAAAATAAATCTAGGTATCAATTCATTTTTCCACTTAAAATTTAAAGACTGATACCGCTTATTGTTATTCACAACATAACATACATGTTTTTTATTATAGAAAGAAGAAAGATGATGCAAATGTGAAATTAAGTAGTATCCTCTCTTATCTTTTATTGATGATTCCCGTCCCTTGAGAAGAAAAGTGACA